CTACTATTTAAGGTAATAAAACATATAAGTCAGTTTTATTGGGCACCTCACCTATTTGTTCGTTATCAGCATATTGGCAGTACATCACTATCTGCCCTGTTTTACAGCATTTGCCAGTTCTGTGATACAAGTATTCTTGCCATGGTTGATGGCAGGTTATTGACATACGTAACTGCCCATGGAGTTGGGAAGAGATGGGCAGTTGCGTACTATTTTACCATACAGATATGATAGACATAAAGAACCTCAAGCTAACAGTCAAATATAATAAATAGTAGTATCATGTAACAAATTAGTTAAGAAGTAATGAGCTTTAGGTATTTATTGGTTTTTTAAAATAACTTCTTAAATTTTATTTTTAGGTAAGTGTATTTTTAATGATGGCTGTCTTTCATAACCAACTCACGAAATTCCTAAATAGTTTCACAGAATTCTTGAAAATCAACGTTCATTGGCAGTCGTGAGCCAGCTTCAGCACTCCACTTTGTGGGCCTTGCAGGACATGTAAGAACTTAGGTTTTTACTCTGAGTGAGATTGAAAGCCACTGAGGAGTTTAGAAAAGGAGTGAAATGTTTGAGTTGGATTTGTGTTTTAACATGATCACTTAGCTGTGCTGAGAAGGCTATGGCGAAGAAAATATGGCAGCAGGGAGACTGTTTAGGAGACTATATGAACAGTCCAGTAAAAGGATGATGGTGGCTTGGAGCAGCGGGTAGCCAGTGGCAATGGTGAGAAGTGATCAGATTCTAGAATCTGTGAGGCACCGAGGGATTGGATGTTTCAATGACTTATTGAGAAGTCTGAGAAGTCAACCAGGCTTTTCCCCTCACTTATTCCTTATTGCCTTTTCAGAGACAGAATGTCGTTCAGCTGAATCAGTGTCTGACCTAATTTGACAGATCTTTATATTGTTGCAAAAATCACTGAGGTACCAAGGAGATTAATTAAAATTCCAGTTCTCAAAGTGGATGATAACAGCAATTTGGATGGGATAATTCTTCGTTGTAGAAGCTCTGTCTTACACGATGTTTAGCATCCCTGGCTCCAACCCCCTAAATGCCAGTGACTGCCACACCCAACCCCTTCCTCTTCACTTCCTAAGAGTCCTGCGATACATGAATACTTTTGCTGAGAGCCAAGGAACTGTGGCCTCTAACAGTATATGGTTCTTCTTCTTTCCTGACAGTATTATGCCTACCTGTATTCTTATGTGATGCCTCAGGCTATCCGAGATATGGTGGATGAATACATCAACTGTGAGGACATTGCCATGAACTTCCTTGTCTCCCACATCACTCGGAAACCCCCTATCAAGGTGAGGGTTCCACTACCAATGGGACTGGGGTGCCTGCATTAGTTTGCAGTAGGTGCAGTATGTAAACCTGCCTCAGGATCTTCTTCTGTAAAATGGGGATAATGATATCACCAGGTAAGATCGTCTTAGGGTTAAATGAGTTGTTAATACGGGGGCTTTTCTCTCCTAAGGGGTAGAATGTATAGAATTCAGTGTTTGGAAATTGGATGGGAAAAAATGTTACATCTTTAATTTTTTCTGATTTTTAACTGGAATTTAGCATTTCCATAAGTTATGCAACAAGTAACAATTCATAAGAGTATTTGTAGTAACTGTATTTTGTCACCAGTAGTACTCACAGATATTTTCATATCCCATTAACATTTGTTGCCACATTTCAGTGTATCATTTGTGTTCATTGCTGCTTTGAAATTTTGTTAGTTATTAACTTTCTCCTAGATCTTATTACTTAACAGATTGATAAAAGAGCAGATATGTTACTATGTTTCAGTATAACTTGTTTCCTTAGTAATCTCTTGTATTTTATTACATGCATTTAAAAACATTCAGAAGTGGAGTCCTCACACTTCACCAGGTTGCCAAACCAGAGTGGAAGGGAGTCCATAGCACAAAAAACTTAAGAATTTCTCAGTTAATTTACGTAAAGCTCTAAGAATAGTGTCTAGTACATAATTAAGTATTGTATAAGACAGGTGTCCCCAACCCCTGGGCCATGGACTGGTACTATTAAAAACCAGGTCACATGAAGAGGTGAGCGAGCGAAGCTTCATCTGTGTTTGCAGCGGCTCCCCAGTGCTAGCATCACCGCCTCAGCTCCACTTCAGATCATAAGGCACTGGATTTTCATAGGCACACTGGTCCCAGGTGCCAAAAAGGGTGCGGATCACTGGTATAAGGATTTACTCCAAAACAAAAACAAAAGTGCCCTCAAAATTCTAGAAATTTGAGTTTTGTTTTGCCTTTGAGTTGATGAATAGATTTGACCAGAAGATACTAAATTCATACTCAGTGCACAGAAAGACCAGATTCATCACCCTTTCTGTCATCACTGCAGGTTCAGACAAGTGAAGATACTAAATTCATACTCAGTGCACAGAAAGACCAGATTCATCACCCTTTCTGTCATCACTGCAGGTTCAGACAAGTGAAAGCTCTCTTGGTGAGGGTCAGGGTAGGCCCGGTAAGGGCCTTGCAAGGATTAATACTAGAGAGTCTTCATGTCAGTTCAGATTACTAGTATTTAGTGACTATGTTCTGTCAGTATTTGTGGAATCACACCTGATGTCCTTAGAAAGGTTAATAAACGAATTAGGCTCTAATTTTCATTATTGTTAAAAAGGCATATAATTTCATTTTATAAAATAATAAGTTTACTTTTATGGAAATCCTTAGTGCCAGAAGTAAATAATAATTGGGTGCATATTACATTCTTCTTATATGTTGAAGATAAGTTCTAGACTAAGTAACCAGCAGCCTGTATTAATAACGACAAAACATATCGTAAATGGGAAGCAGAGTGGTGGTAACCAGAGGACACTAGGTCTTATGCACTAAAGCATTTTGAAAAGCATTTTGGGGCCTTATGCATCCATTTTTACGTAATCAAACCTTTTCTCAAGCATAGCTCAAATTATAACTCAACTCCTGATTACCCCAAAGCTTCCTCTGTTCCTGAGCCTTCTGCTAAAGCCTCACAAAACAATAACTAGTGGACCAAATTGTGTGTTTTTTTAAACTGTGAATGATAAAAGTCCACAGTTATTTCAATAAAAATAGTATGTTTCCAGGTACAGTGGCAGATCTGATATTAAACAATGAAAAAGCACAATTCTTTGCAAACTTTAAGGTTAGGGAGGCAAGATCTTAGAAAGAAATTAATGATTGGTGCAATTTTCTATTCTTTATTTATCCTTTCTTATGTACCCAGGGACTGGACTTCAGCCAAGATGTATGCTTCTATTTATACCTCCCTAGTAGATCAAAAGATATCCATGAAAATTTAACGTCTCTGATTAGGTACCTAATAATATCGTCAGTCACTCTACTCTTACAGACATAATGAATTTTTCATCTTCATTAAAGCATGTTTGTCTACTATATTATTAGGCAAGTGTTCATTAGCTAAACCATCTCTTTAGAGATTGAGATGGAAATAATTTGCACATGTTATATATGATTCTCACCAAATGAAAACTTGAGGAATAAGTATTCTCTCTGAATTTTTGCAATCTTATGGGAATATAAGAGGTGTTCCATTCAAGATTAGGATGACCTTTTTAAAATTAAAGGCTCAGTAGGTTAAGAATGTTTTCAAATTCTGAGTCCAATTATGTATTTCATAGTATAAAACCAGTTTGAACTAAATATTTTTATTAATTTACTTAATTTTAATAGTATCAGGTATATATACTATTTTATGTTTCAAAATAGTAAAATTTTTTTTTGCTTCAAGTTTTCGCTATTGAACTGTTCTCTCTTTTGTTAAAATGAGAAAGTTATGACTGGTTTTTATGATTGGTAGTGCTCGCTCGATGATAATAGTTTAACAGTTTCGACTAAAGAACAGGGAGCTAATTTTATACTGTTGCTTTGAATTATGTAATGTTTTTTTTTTAAGGAGGAGAAAGATCTAGAATGTAAATAGGCTTTATTCAGAATAAGGATTTGCCAGGGGAGGGGAATAAGATTGATGTTGTTTAAGGGTACAAACTTATAATAAGTAGTAAAAAAGCCATAGAAATCTAATGCATAGTATAATGAATATAGACAATAATATTGTACTATAATTATGTAATGTGATAAATATTGCTACATCCGCAATCATATTACAAGCCAAGGATTGCTGGCAACTAAAAGAAAGGCATGGGACAGAGAGAGGATGGACTCACTGACACCTTGATTTCATTCAGACTTGTAGCCTCCAGAACTATGAGAATAAATTTTTTTTTTTTTAGTCACTAAGTTTGTGGTAATTTGTTAAGCATCTCTAGGAAACTAATACAGTCACTGTCATGACATTAGTGGTATCCACGTCATTGTTTTTCTTTATACTTTTATCACCTAAGTATGCGTCCCCAAACACTATGGTTTACTTTTAAAATAAACTTTTTTGTATTAAAGTTAATAATAGATTTACAGAAAAGTTGTGAAGACAGTACAGAATTCCCATATACCCCTCCCTGCATATAGATTCCCCTATTATTAACATCTTACATCTGTATGGTACATTTATCACAGTTAATGAACCAATATTGATACATTATATTACCAAAGTCCATCCTTTGTTCAGATTTTCTTAGTTTTTGTTTTTTTGTTTTTTTTTTTAACTATAATAATCATGTAGCAGAATTATACCGAATACAACAAACAGCCATACGTGAACAAATGGTGTGCCTTCAACTCTTAGTTCCCACATTCTTGGACCACATTCCATGATTCTCTGGGGCAGAAAGGCTGGCTGGAGCATGAGGACCTCCCTGCTGACTCTGCATAACTAGCCCACGCCCAGGGCACAGGCTGAACATGTGGAAAGTGGCCAGACAAGTTACACCTGCTCCCTGATGAAGCCCATAAGAGAGGCTTTGGACCTGGCAGGGACCGCTGGACCACGGAGTCTGAGGATAGGCACCTAAAAACCTTAGACTGGTCTACGCCTTACAGTTCCCTTATCCAAAGTCCCACTCACCGGAGAGGTTAGAGGAGCGGGGCATGTGAGCTGCCTCCAAGCCAATGCTTGGTCTTCGGTGAGCAGGGAGAAATAAAAACCGTGTTCCACAAGTGAGCTTGAACAGAACCAGTGGAGCAGGTGAAAGATTCCAAAGCCCCATTTAGTACTCAGCACAGGATACCAGGGGATGGTGGAAGGCGGAGATGTGTGTATTCTGCTGTGGTCACTGCTGTGACGAGCCCTGTCCTGCTGTCCTGGCCTGATTTGTACAGTTCCTCTGAGCTTTCTGAATTTGCCCTCGGGTGGCCCTGGGCTCTCACACTTCTGAGCCTAAACCTCCCAGCCTCAAGCATACAGAGTGGACACTCCAGAGGCAGAGGGCTGTCTTGAGGGTGAGTAGGCAGGCTTCCTGAGCAGGGGAGGTTCTTCCACACCACCTCCAGTGTCCAAGAGGATGCTACGCTCCAGGAGGGAGAAGGCCCAGCTCTGGCAGCAGGAAGAAAGTCGAGCTGGGAGAATGACAGGAAGTCAGTGTCTTTCTGTTCCAAGATCAGTTTTGCCTGTTTTCAACTTTATATAAATGGAATCATACTGTAGCACTTCTCCATGTTTCTTAACTTCGCTGTTATATATTTTTTTAAAGCTTTTTGTCAGTTTTTTCCATTTTGGGTAATAATTTTAGTATAGTTTTCATCATTCATTTTTTCTTCATACCCATACATTGTCTGATTTAGTTCAATATAGTATCATTTCTCTTGTTCTGTTTGTTTTTCTCCATATCTGCCAGGACTTTTTGATAGTCCCTCATTTCTTCCATCAGACTTTAAGAACTTTCAAAATTTCATTGTAATATTATACACATTTATTGTTACACTTTTATTATAATTCTGTTCTGCAATGTTTTGGGGTCTAATTCTGTTGTTTCTGCAGATTTTTCCTTCATGTGGCTCATTCCTTTTTTTATTACTTTGTGAGACCATAGTCCTTGGTTTTTACTTACAGTGTTTCTTTGAGGCCTGAATTTACATCTGATGAAAGGATTTGTATGCTTCTGCCATGTGCCTGGGATCACCACCTACTGGAGACCTGCTTAAGCTAAATTAGCATCTTGGGGCTTTTCAGGACACAGAAGTGACATAGATTCTCGTCTCAAATGTGTGAGGGCCAGCTTGTGGTTATAAATTCTCAGAGGTGCTGTTTCCTGAGAAGCAAACATTGCCTTACCATCTCTGTGGGGCTGCCTCCATCCTGCAGCCTTCCATGGGGTCCCAGTGTTTCACAGCTCTTGGCTTTCCCAGCCTGATAAAGACCCAGGCTCCTGGCTATCTCATTAGATCCAGGCTTTCTCATTGTTTAGGCTTCTGAGGGTTTTATTTCTTTCATTCTATATTTCATTTCATTCTCGGCCATATATTTAAAGAGACGGTTTATATATTTTATCCTGCTTCTTCAGGTATTCTGTGCTGAGGGGATTTTTATGTTGTTTGGTTTGTCACATTAATGGTAGTAAAGCTGTTATATTATTCTTCAGACTTTTCTAATTGCTTGAAATTTCATAATAACTACTAAACTATAATATGACCATTTCCCCCATGTCTTTATATATAATTTTCTTAAATGTTTATAAATGGATGTGTAGGATTTTATAATTATTTAACTAGTTCCCTTTTGATGGGTAGTTTTCCAGTATTTTGCTCTTAAGAACACTGATGAAACGAACAACTTTATAACTATATTTTGCCATGCAACCAAGATAAACACGAGAAGTAGAGTTACTAAGAGAGGCAACACTACACATGTAAGGTTTTTGATACCTGTTAAATGTAGGCCATTTGGGAAGAGCATCCTTACTGCATCCACGGCGGGTGGAGAGCTCTGGGCTCCGGCCCTGGACTCTGTCTCCATGAGTGCATGTCATCGTCTTCACTGTGGACGTGGAGGCACTGGCCAAGCCGCAGAGTTTCTGTCAGTATTAGTACCAGTGATTCTTACTCTGTGCTCTTGCTTCCCTCTTCCCAGGTGACCTCGCGGTGGACTTTCCGATGCCCAGGATGCCCTCAGGCCCTGTCACACGATGATTCCCACTTCCATGAGCGGCACAAATGTATCAACTTTTTTGTCAAGGTGTATGGCTATATGCCTCTACTGTACACTCAATTCAGGGTGGACTCTGTGCTCTTCAAGACCCGCCTGCCCCACGACAAGACCAAGTGCTTCAAGTTCATCTAGGGGCATTGCAGGTTTTGGGGAGAGGATGAGCAGAGTGAGGGAGATGGCTCCTAAAGTCTCTAGACATTGAAGGACCTCAGGGACATCCACTGGGTGGGTGGCCCAGACCCTCTGCTGGGAGAGGCAGCAGGAGGAGTAGAAAGCAAGTAGTTGCCTTTCTCTTGGAGTTGGCCACACTGGGCCTAGAACCCTGGTCAGAGGACACAGGGCTCCCTACACAGGGCACTGACTGATAGCTTACACTGAGGACATGAGGACTCTGGAGAGTCACTCACGCAGTTCATAAGCCCAGGACAGCTGGTTTGTGGTTTTTAAATTCAGTAACAACTATTATTATTTAAAAAGAAGTTTCAGATTTGCCATTCAAGGCTTATTTATATATATGTGTGTATATATACATATGTATGTGTATATATGTGTGTATATATATATATATATATGCACACACACACTCACATATACATATATATATATATATTGGGGGGGGGGTTGAAATTTCTGCCTATCTCACAAAGTGAGTGCCCCACCAAGGCTCCTGATGTTTGATATTTTGGTGGAGATGGATCCTGGCCTTGTGGTATCTGTCTGGCTCATCCTTAAAGCTCATCTCCTTCCTCCCCAGGGGCATCTGTGTGCAGAGACAAAAGAGGGCCAGGCTAGCCCTCTAATGGGGCCCCGGATGAGTTAAGACCTGTCAATTTGTCCCTTCTCCCGTTCTGTTGCCAACCAGCGATCTGTAACTCGCATCTCCTCTCACTTGAGTCCTTGGGGAGGACTGACACCTTTGGGAGTAGCTGGATTTGATGGTTTTTGAGGATTTATTCAGTCATGCTGTCCCAGTACTTGTCCCTGCTCTCCATTCTCTTCCCTGTTTGGAAGAGAAGAACGGGGAAGGAAGGGGACCTAAAGACAGCACTCCCAAATGGCTCTTTTTGTCCGGCCCTCCTTTTAAAATACATGTTGTGCTTGGGCTTCAGGCTTTCCTGAAGATTGTCTCTTGTGTAAAACTGGCAGGCTGCGCTTCCAGGTGTGGTCTGGAGCAGTTTGCAGGTTGGCCTGCTCTGTAGTGTAGAACAGGCGAGCGTCCTTTGCAGCTCCCACCCGGCTGGCCGGGAAGTCTGAACAGCAAGGCACCACCTGCCTTGGGATATCTACCTTGGTGAAATTCACCTTCCCTCCACCTTTATCTAGACCTGAGTCCTATGTTACCTGTAGTGTTTGGATCCCTATTGTCTGGTTGGTTCCAGGACCCCCTGAGGTTCAGAAAGTGCCAGAACAATAGGAGGATATTTGTTACGTTCAGCTCAAAGCCACTTGAAATTTAACAGGCATTTTCATCCCACATTACCACTTTCTACTCTGGGTTTGAATTTCTGTTCCCTGGGCTAAAATAAAAATAAGCTAATCTTTTTTTTTT